CGGCGGTAACGGCCCGGGAGGGGCGAGGCACCTGTGAGGTGACAGAGACAGGGGAGAGTGCGCACTGTCCAGATTCAACTGCTTAACTTAGATTGCCGTTATTTTAATCTCCAGTTTAACAACACAATGTTGAAAGCAGAACATTCGTGACTCGAGGACAGCCCCAGAGGGGGCTGGTGCCCAGACACGAGAACGGGGAGAATGGTAAATAGCTTTTACCAAGAGCTTGCAGCATGACTAGTGACACGAGATGCTGGGCCCATGGGTCAGGAAGCTCTGCAGTGAGTTGTCCTGAGCCCTCTGGGTGACAAGTTGACCTGCTGGGGTAAAAAAATGGGCAGGACGAGCAGCAGAGATTGTGAAACCTCGCAGGAAGTCATCAGTGCTCATCAGGCTTGCTTTTACCCCATCTGACTGTAAAGGGAATTCCTGAAGGCCACACAGAAGTAGAGGCTGAAGTGGTGTGCAGTTGCCCGTCACACCCTGGTCAGAAATCTACTGAGAGGCATTTTGCCTGCCTTCATATGTCTTAGGAATGACATATGCTTTCTGCAGGAAAAAAGTGACAAGCAAACAAGGCATTTTCCTTTCATTCTAGGCTGGGCAGCTCAGAGGTGTGGTAGTTCCTTTTTTGGTTTGAGAATTTAGGTCGGGGAGGCCCCTGGCTTGTTTGCGAGCATGCAATTGGGGTTTCTATCCTCCAATGAGATGAGAATCTCTCTTTTTCCTTTTCATACTCTGCCTGATTGGGCATGAACAGTCTAAGCACATCTATGTCAATGTGATAAATTACCTGGGTTTTTCCACCTCAGTCTGCAAGGCAAATGAGAAAAGGAGAGGAATGGCAAAGTCAGGAAGACCTGGGGTGAATTGAATGGAATCATCTGGGAAGCCTTCCCTAGCTGCATGCATGTTGTATGATTTCAACCCATAGCTTTGTGGTACGGAGCAAGTGGAGTACTTAACATCCAGAGAGATGGGTGAAAAATAAGAGGTGAGTTAGGAATAGCAAAACTATCCTCTTGCAGATTTAAAGCGAAAGGGGGCCTTAAGAGATGTCCTGGGAAGGAGAGAAGAGATATAAAACAAGAGCCTGGAACTCCCAGGCCACAGATCTGCCCCTGAGCTTTTGCACATCCCCATTGTTCTCCTACAAGTTAAATGGTTCAGTAGTTTTCTTGTTGGGAGAGGATGTTTCCAATACCAGTCTGGGTTTCATGATAGGGTGAACAGAAGCCTGTAAATATGAGAATCTTCTGGGGAGGGCTCTTGTTCCTCCTCCAGATTGGACCCATCCCCTTTTCCAAAATCTAGGAAAGTCCCCTCCTTGAACAAGACATTATATGGGGCCTTGGATACAAGGAAAAACTTTTTAACTGTGAGGACGACCACACAGTGGAGTAGGGTGCAGAAAAACTTGTTCCATCTTTGCTATTAGAGGTGTCCTCATGGTAGATCCACAAAGCCAACAAAGAACAACTTGGACATCATACCAGCTGGTAGGGCAGGCTGGCTTGTGCTAGCCCTGAGGACAAACTCTAACACTGTAATTTCAGTATTAGAAAGCAGGCATTACTTTATTTCGGCGCTGGGTGGAGCATGGGGGAATAGCACCTCCTAACATGCGCACCCAATTATCAAAACTTTTAACTATTTATACATTTTAGCAGACAAAGGTTTTAGAGTTCACTGGCTGCAAGTTACATAGTTCTCTTATTAATTAGTATTCTATCTTCTATTGGTTAATAATTCTCTTGCTTTTTATGCTAATTAGTTGACATGCTCAGTTTCTCTCTTTTTTGGGTCAGTGGGTTTCTTGGGTTGGTGGTCTGTGAGTCGGTGGTCATAGTTTCCTCCTGTCAGAATTACTTTTTACCCACTTGGAGCTGATTTCAGCACAATTACTGAGTTGGTTTTATTAATTTCTTCCTTATCTGGGGAGTCCAGCCAAATGTCCTTGTGGCCCATAAATTCTGCATTGCCTCCCCCCACAGGTCTGAAATCACTGAAGTATGTAACGCCCTAAACTTTAATTTGTTTTTCTAACTCATGGACATCACTCAGAGCTTGCTTGTTAGCTGCTATCTGTTTCATGAATTAAATTTCCCTTCTTGTTGATTACGTTTGAAAGTTACAAAGACCAAAGAACATCCTTTCTTAAGAAAGTTTTTGCATATTTTACATTTTGCAACAATTAATCGGGACCTTGTTTCACCTGTAACTCCCTGAGCAAATTGTTAACTATTTCTGACTCTTGAGATCGGAAGAGTCAGCATCAGCAAGACTAATTGCTATTCGTTACAAAGATTTTCAACAGACCAATGGGTAACATTAGTCCTCGTCTTCTCTCTCACACAGTGCTGAGGAGGGGACCCCAGCAGTCTGCCAGGCACACTTGACCAAGCACATCAGACTCTGTTAATGGTAGGCAACCGTCGCCTGCTGCCAGGCCCTCCACATTCCAGCAGCTCCCCTACCCACCACCCCCAGGCTCTGAGGGAAAGCAGCCAACTGTGTGATCCTGCAGCACAGATATCACAGGGAGCAGCTGCAGTGAGGAGCTGAGCTGGGAGCCAGTATCTGTGGCTTTGAGCCTCATCTTTCTTTCAGCAGCTATTTGGAAAGGAGAGAGGAGGACAGATCCTTGTAAAAAGGCCTCTTTTCCACTCCTCCTCTCTAGTGCCTTTTAACCTCCTGTCCTCTGCCCAGGCTGGGTCCCGCTTCCTGCTGAACGGTAGCAGGGATAGGGGCTGGGGCAGGGGCAGGGGCTAGGACTGGGTCAGAACCAGAGGAAGGGGCTCAGCTGCGCTCCCTCGCCCAGCAGGGCCCTGCCCTGGGCACATGGACGGAAAAATGCGGCAGGAGAGATGTTCGGAAGGGGGCTGCGAGGACACCTGGAGGCAACGATTGGACATTGCAGGAAAGGCTATGGCAGTTGACACCTTGGAATGTACCGTCCGTCCGTCCGTGGACTGGCTTGGGCTGGGAACCAGCTCCTTTCCAAACTGGGAGCTGTCAGAGGTGGTAACCCCCAGGATCCATACTGGGACCAATGTTGTTTAATATCTTTGTGAGCAATCTAGATGATGGGACCAAGTTTTCTCTGATGATGCCAGAGTGGGGAAGAGGACAATTTGGAAGGGAGAGCCACCCTGCAGGAAGACCTGGATAGGCTGGAAGAGTGAGTTCACAGGAACCATATGAACTTCAGCAAAGACAAATGGGAAGTCTTGCACCTGGGCAAACATAATCCAGGAGTGTAGCACAGGCTGGAGAGCAGCTCTGTGGAAGGGGCCCTGGGGGTGGACACTAAGCTCAGTGTGAGTGACCAGTGTGCTGCCACAACTGAGAGCCAGTGGGATGCTGGGCTGCATCAACAAGGGCATCACCAACAGAGAGAGAAGTCATTGTCCCACTCTATTCAGCGCTTGTCAGGCCACACCTGGAATACTCTGCAGTTTTGATCCCCACTACCCAAAAGGGAACCGGACAGGCTGGAGGGGGTCCAGGGAAGTGCCACAAAGAGGATCCAAGGGCTGGGAAGCTGCTGTATGAGGAAAGGCTGCAACACCTGGGTTTGTTCAGTCTTGAGAAAAGAAGGCTTAGGGAATGAACCCAAGAGAAACAAGTGATGCAAAATAAAATTGCTCACCACCCTCTGACCAATGCCCAACCCATCCCTGAGCAGTGACTGATGGCTCCCTGTCGGGTCCCCCCAGATCCTCTAATCAGGGTGTGACTGCTTCCATGAAGGATACCTGGGGTTTGCTGTTCACCTGAATTCTTCCGTTCCTCACAGCCCCCCTTCCCAACATCTCTCCTGCTGCATTCTACTGCTACACCTGGGGCTGGCAGCCCAGCTCTTCTCTTGTGTGACCAGCCTACACAAAGGATGAAAGATAATGGAAGCAAACATTCATGGTTAATTTTTTCTAAGAGGCCTAGAATCAGACTGGGCCAAAATAATTCTGTTGTCTTTTTGTTGTTGATAGTACTGGTGACAAACCAGTTTTAAGAACATATCCATTAGTTGGGGGTATTGAGAAAGATATGGGCATTGTTGAACTACAGTCTTTAAAAAACCTCTTGGCACCAGGATGTTCTGCGGGATCAGTTCACAGTCTGTGGGCTCATCAGCTGTCTGTACAGTTGTCCTAGTTAGAGCAGCTGGGACCAGTTCATCACTGTGTGGGTGTAACCCAAACTGTGTATTCTACACCCTCTACGTCATTTCCCAGGAACTGTTAACAATAGACCATTTGCAGCAGCTGCCCAGAGCACACCTGACCCCTCAGGCTATAAGCTGGGTGTTAAGAAGCCTGTGAGATAGGAGGATGTTCCTATCCTCACACCAATAACTCAGGTGTGATGACTCCCCTCTGGGGAGTCACCAGCACCTCCACACCCAGCCTGAGGGGTCATGTCTGCTAATGGGCCACCAAGGATTCCAAAAATATCTCACGACTCATGTGGGAGGCGTGTCTGAAGGCACGAGAGATGTGCCAGGGCAGTGTGGCCAAAAGAACATGTGCCATCATATGTAACTCTATTGGCTGAAGAAGTCACATGGTATGTAGGGATAAAAGAAGCGCGAATTTTGAAATAAAGCCTCTTTGTTCACACCACCCACGAGGAGCCGATTTATTCCTTGTTAGACAAGGACCCCGCCGTTACACATGGCGCTCGAGCACGGACTCTTTTAGCTTATATTAAGCCAGATATTTATCCTGAATCAGGAAATCAGCCGGTAGTTCCGTTATCATCTCAATTTTTTGGAGACGGGAACTTTTACCGCAAAAAACCTTGACGTCAGTAAATCCGTTGTCTCGATGGCGTCTGACAAACGGAAAGTTAGTTTAGCAAGCTCCAAAAATATTAGAAAAGTGCACGATATAAGAAGAGGAGAAAGAAGTTAAGAAGAAACCGAGAGGTCAAGCAGCAACCGCACAGGGTGGAGAGGGTCCAACGCAACATCAAAAGCGGTGAGTCCAGCTTGAAGGCACCCTGCACAGCTAGGACTGCTCCCTAACGGCAGCGTGTCTGCAGCTCGGAGACCCGAGCCACGGAGCACCTTAAGACTGCCAGGGAAAGCCGTTGGTCCCCACGTGTCGGCCATCTGGTAAAAACGGCTTTGCCGCTGCCGACTGCTGCAGCCGGACCACGTGCGAGAAGCGGCTTTGCCGCTGCTGCCTCTTAAAATCTCCAGCCACCACCGGACCCCCGCGGAGCCCCCTTTCAGTTTCTGTCCAGCAGAAACTGCCGCGGCTCCCCGCCTGCTCGCCGCTGCTGCCGGCCCTGCGGCGTGCTTAAAAGCACTGCCGCAAAAACCCCCGCGCCGCATTCAGACCGCGCCGGGACCTTACCGAAGGCGCCGTGCCGCGCCTTCCTGCTACAACGCGCCTGACCCCCGCACCGCCCAGCGATTTGCGGGAACCCCGGAGCCGCTGTTGCCGCCACCGCCCACCAAGCCGCCCGCGCGGATCCCGCCCCGCGCCCCGCCGCCACCGCGGTGGACGCCGTGCTCGCCGTAGACGGAGCCGGACCCGAGCCCGCGCCCGACCGGCACTCGCTGCCACGTGACTGAGACGACGACGCCAGCGCCGCCGCTGCCGTTCGTCGCTGAAGCCCACGCACACACCGATCCGTCTGCAGCCGCTTGCCCGCCGCTTCTACCGCCCGCCGCTTCTGCCGCCCCGCGCCCGTCGCTACAGCTGCCCCATGCCCGCCGCTGCCCTGCGCCCGCCGCTTGCAGCCTGCACCAGGACACCAGCCACCGACGCTGGGACGCCACAGCCCAGCATCGCAAGCCCAGCCGACAGAGAACCGACACAAATCAGCAAACAGACAGATCCTCTTCAGCAGCGCACGCTAGCAGCACCGAGACTCAAAGGTAACATGGGAAACTTCTTCCCCACCGAGCTCTCACAAGACACAGACGCATTAGCTACACTGCTGAAGCCTTATTACATACAGGTTACAAGGGCTGAATTAACAGAATTGGTACGGTTCATTAAGATAGCTGTACCAGAACTGCCTCTGGTTGAAGCCTTCCACATCCACATTTGGGACAAAATAGGGAACCTTATAAAACTCAAAGCTCAGGGGGGAGACCCCCAAGCGAACAATGCTTACCCAGCCTGGCAGGCTATAATGTCTGCATTAAGCAGAGCACACCAAAAAACAACAAAAACACACACCCCCGCTCACGCTGCTAGCAGCAGCCCAACTTTTACGCGCCACAGTTTAAACACACAAAGCCCGGCGGGGGGAGGGGGTGGAGCCGTTCACGATTCCACTATGGGGAAGGGAACCGGGAGCCCAAGGGACACGGGTCGGCGGGAATGGGACCGTAACGGCAATGAGGGGGCTAGCCCAGCTTACTTGCCAACCCATTCCGCAGATGAAGGCCGAACACATGCCCAGGGGTGGGCACCGCCATCTCGCTCGCCACGCAGAACGGACACCGACCCGTCCTTCCCCGCCCCCGTGCTGTCCCCTTCACCCACCACCACCACCCACCCACAGACAGCCGCTTTCACCGGAGCTGCAGGGGGGGAGGGATGGGAGGAATGGGGGGATGAGGAGGGAGATTTCGGGATAGCTCTGCTGGGAGGGGACGAAGCAACATACGGAGAGGGATCGATTGATAGATGGGGTTTGTGCAGAGAGGAGGCATTGCGAATTGGGGATTTACAAGTGTTACATGCATGTCCAGTAATTATCGGTCCGCGCCAAACCCACAGGTTTCAGCCCTTGCCACATGAACTAACCAAAGAGCTGAGACAGCTGATAAGAGAAACTGGTGTATCTTCCCCTAACACACTTGCATTTTTAGAAACACTGAGCTCCACATACATTTTCATGCCACATGACTGGAGAACCCTGTTGAAAATAAGCCTCACTAACACACAGTATAATGTATGGCTGAACGATTTTAGAGAAATCTGCTCCGCTTATGCTAATGACCCACAAGCAGGGGTAACAACACACCAGCTCACAGGAGAAGGAAACTACCGCTCCATAGATGCACAAACTGGGTACAATAGAGAAATATATGAAGTCATAGCAAAACATGCAATGCGGGCAATGAGAAAACTACCCACATCAGATAAAGACACAAACTTGTCATTCACAAAGATAATGCAGGGCCCAACAGAACCTTACACACAATTCCTAGATCGGCTGCAATCTGCTCTAGATAGGCAGATTGAAAATGAGGAAGCCAGGGAAATACTTAACAGACAACTGGCTTTCGAAAATGCTAACGTTGATTGTAAAAGAGTTCTGCAAACCCTTCCTAAAAGGGAAACTTGTAGCATTTCAGAACTGATTCGTGCCTGCCAGGGGGTTGGTTCCTTGACACACCAAACTGATTTACTGGCAGTAGCACTGAGTGCTCAATTAAGAACACAGGAGGGGGCCAGACCCAGAAATGGTTGCTACATTTGTGGGGCCCCGATCACTTCCAAAGGGATTGCCCTCAGAAACCCCTAGCAGTGGCACCCTGCAAGCACCCAAAAGCAAGGAGGGTGCCAAAAAACTGGAGGCAAGGGGCGCTGTCGCACGCCCCCATACAGCAAACACATGCGACACAGGGGAACAGGCTGGCAATTTGTGCCCCCCACATCAACCAGCGCTGGGCTGGACCTATCCAACAGGGACACAGTCTTCATAACTTCCACTGAGGTAGTGCTAATCCCAACTGG